GGGTTGTTTTTGCTTGCAGCACGTTTGCGACGTTTGACTTGTTAATTATATTGCTGCCTTACGTTTTCACGATGATTGCGTTGCACATGTGTGTGGTTTCAAGTTGTGGTGTTGAGAGCGACCGCGAAGCAGTCACGCGTGACAGCCGGTATAAGCGATGACCCACATGCACGATTGAACACGAATAAAACGAACCAATCACATCACACATGCAGGGTGTGGAATGTTGAACGGAAAGGGGGGGGGGGTCCGGCATGGGAGCAAGGACTGGTTGTTCTGTTCGTAGCAGGAGATGGGGCGTTGGAGACAAACGACCATTGCGTGGCTGCAACGGTGTGAGACATGCACACAGAGCATGCGGCGGCCGTCGCTGTTGATGTGTGGCCGGCGACTGAAGTTGTGACACGACACGTTGTGGTTCGTCGGCACTGCCTGGCTGTTGTCGTCGTCAATCGATGACGATGGCTCCATCATCGTCATGATTGTCATCAACATTGCCATCATCGTTGGGGGCGCAAGTGGTGGCAGCAGCTGTTGTCCCCATGATTGTCTCAGTGGCATCCAAGACAACCACGTCATTATCGGCAGGCGTTACTGCTGCTGCTGTCGAAATGGTGCAAGTGCTGGCACTGGTGGTGATATCATCATCATCATCTGTGTGTTGTTGTTGTTGTTGCTGTTGTTGTTGTTGTTGTTGTTGTTGTTGTTGTTGTTGTTGTTGTTGTTGTTGTTGTTGTTGTTGTTGTTGTTGTTGTTGTTGTTGTTGTTGTTGTTGTTGTTGTTGTTGTTGTTGTTGTTCTTGCTGTTCTTGTTGTTGTTCTTGTTGTTGTTGGTCCTTCATCTCACCTTCTTCACGCTGACGTCGTTGTTCCTGTGCTTTGTCTTCAGTCTGCCCGACGTCTCCCATTACACCACCATCACCATCACCGCCACCGCCACGGCCGTGACCAGACCGCGCCTCCGCCTTTGATCGCCAATTCATCGCCGCCTCTGTGCGTGTGTGAATATCGCGTTCCATCGCCATCAGCGCGCGCGTGTTCACTGAAGAGAGCGAGGGGGGCCGTCGTGTGATGGTGATGTTGATGGCCATGATGAGTTGAGCCCAACTGTCAGCAAGCAAGGTCGCCACACACACACACACACACACACACACACCGCACACACACACACACACACACACACACACACACACACACACACACACACACACACACACACACGAACACACATACACACATACACGCACACACACACATTCTCAAAGCACGGTCGCTCACGTGATGATGATGACGCAAGCTGTTGCTGCTGTGCTTCGATTTCATCGTGCAAAATCACAACCTCGCGCTGTAGCCGCTCGCCTCCCTGCCGCACATACGCAGCGGCCAGCTCTGTGCGCCACGAGGGAAGAGGTAGACACGTACATGCGCATGTGCATGCGTGTGCGAATTTGCGTGGAAGGTGAGCTGGGCGTTTCCAATACACACTGAAAGATGCACACGCATTAATTCACAAGCACGCACATGCACACACATGCACGCACATGCACACACACACATGCACGTACGTGCACGCACACACAAACAGACGCACCCTTGTTCTCTGCCTCAATCTTGTAGCAGCGGGAGAGAAGTCGGTGCCCGGCGTCCGAGTTGTGGCGGGGATTAGCCACCCACTTGCATGACACAAAACACAAGACGCCAGCAACAGCACCGGGGAAGGGGAAGAGGAATAGGGACAGGGTGGCCCGTGAACGCGTGGATGCATGGAGGGACGTTGGTTGAAGTCGCTGTTGATGACCCAACGTACACACAACCGCGCAAGTGCACAATCACTCACGCTCAATCAAACAGGCGGAAGCAAGCAAACACACACACACACACACGCACGCACGCACGCACGCAGACTTGCGCAGACTCACGCACAAAAACGACTCACCTTCAGCGCATCCTTGGCGCGTTGGAGCCGCGCCTCTGCCTTTTGAACGCTGCTAGCGAGAGATGTCATTGCCTCCGCCTGCACGCCATCCAGGAACATGGACTTGGCGCGCTTTGGCAGCAACTCCTGCCATCACATGGAAACATGAAGCACAGCAAAAGTCGGGCACAATAAGACGCGATGTGTGTGTGTGTGACAGAGTTTGTGTGTGTGTGTGTGTGTGTGTGTGTGTGTGTGTGTGTGTGTGTGTGTGTGTGTGTGTGTGTGTGTGTGTGTGGGTGGGTGGGTGTGTGCGTGTGTGTGTGCGTGTGTGTGTGCGTGTGTGTGTGCGTGCGTGTGTGTGTGTGTGTGTGTGTGTGTGTGTGTGTGTGTGTGTGTTGTGTGTGTGCTTCGCAACAAGTGCACTCAAACTAATTTACTCATTCCCCCTCCCCAATCAGGGCAAGGTACTGGCAGTGCACCTCATGCAGCGCGGCGACCTTGGCCTGCTCTTCTGCAATCTGCTGGCCTGTCGAAGCAAGAAGCCCTTCAATGCGTTCACTCCTGTGAGGTGAAGGCGTAAAAAGACAAGAAGCAATCACAAAGGCGATCACAATGGTGCGTCAGCGGAACCGCGATATGCTACACATCAAGTGGGTGAGAAAAGCGCGCCAAAAACCAGCATGTCGCTGGCCGTGCAAGACCGGAGGCAGTGCAGTTTCCCGCGTGCGCACGCTTGGAACTTTGCGCTTCTTCTGTGCTGAAACGCTTTGTTTCGGGTCTTCATGCTGTCAGTGGTTGGCTACATAAGCACGTGCACGCACTCGCCACACCACACCACACACGCACACAACCAACGTAGACTGACTTGGCTCGGGTAACTTCAGCTGAGCGCCGTAATATCTCGCGCATGGCATTGCGCTTCTTCTCCTTCAGCACCACCAGTTCCTCGTAGATTGCCTCCCTGTGCATGCAACAACGTCAACCCCCCCCCAACACGCATATATGCACGCACACACGCACGCACGCACACATCCATACACACACGCAGTGCACGTGAGAAGATAGGCCAAGCTGACGACAAGCAAGAAAAGCAAGCCAAAGCACGACAACGCACATCATGGCTGTTGTTGTCATCTTGGGTGCTTGAACGCCGAAATTTTGGTGGTGCAATGGCTAATCTTCACAACTTGCATCGCCCCCCAACAACAACAAGCAAGCAACAGACAGGGATGAGTGGCAGCAGTCGCCGTGTGCAGAGTGCTAGATCGGTGAGCTCGGCTGCTGGCTGGTGTGTGGTGCTTTGGCGCCCGACTCCGCCGGTCCCTGTGTGCGTATGTGGGTGTAAATGAGTAGTGTGTATGAAAGTACCTGCATCTTGCGTCTGCTCGTGTTCTTTCTCTCCTTGTTGAAGGGTGTATTCTTGCACTGCAACTCACGCACTGCAACTCACGCACGCACACGCACACGCACACGCATGTCGTCGCAGAACTTCAACGATCTGGCGATTGACTGCACACCACCATCGCCCTCAGAGCGACAGCGTGACCTACTCAATGTATGTCACGAGAACCTGTGATTGTCGTTTTGTTGTGTGTGTGTGTGTGTGTGTGTTTGGAGCGAGATGTGCATCCAACAACGGCATATCTGTGATGCTCACTCACTTCCTGCCCGGGATCTTCTTGTAGCAATATGCCACAGGAGGTCGGCCGCAGCCTCAACCTCAACAACTGCAGCAACAGCATCACCAACAGTCGTCCATCCCTTCCCAAGTGGTGAGTGCCGTCTTGGGGTGTTGGGCGAAGATCAAAAAGGAGGTAGTGGAGTTGGGGGCAGATCAGGCATCGCACTGCACGTCGCTGTTTGTACAGCTGCCAGTGCACTGACGCTACCGTCAGTCCCTCGTCTTGTTTCGCTTCCACTGAATGCTCGCCGTTTTGTCTTTTGCTCATGCGATCTGCCTGTATTCCATCGCCAGCGAGGCACCATCGACGTTGGCGCTGCGTTGTCCTTCATGAGCGACAGTTCCACTGCAACCTCATATGAGCCGACGATTCGCCCAAAGTCTGAGCGCCGCATTCCGTCCGCCAGGAGCCGAGTGCGTTGGTGTGTTTGTGTCTGTGTGTGTGTGTCTGTGTGTGTGTCTGCCTGTCTGTCTGTCTGTGTGTGTGCGTTTGCTTTTGTGCAAGCGCTCGCTGATGTGCATGCGCACAAGTCTGTGTACATCTGCGCATCGTTGATTCGCCAATGTGCTCCGCTTGTTCGCTGCCTCACACGTCCCAATCTGCACCATCCACGGGTGCACGCGGCCGCAATCACAACCAGCAGGATCGCTTTCGTGCGCCGGAAATGCATCTCATGTACACACGCACGGACGAGGAGCGGCTGGCCGACCCAGACAGAATCAACCTGGACAACAGATCTCTCGACGTGAGTAGAGCAGCTGGGCGAGGGGGGTTGTGTGTGTGCGTGCGTGCGTGTGTGTGTGTGTGTGTGTGTGTGTGTGTGTGTGTGTGTGTGTGTGTGTGTGTGTGTGTGTACGTGTACGTGTGAGTGTGTGTGTACGTGCGTGTATGTGTACGTGTATGTGTGTGTGTGTATGTGTGTGTGCGTGCGTGTATGTGTATCTATGTGTGTCTGTGTCTGTGTCTGTGTGTCTATGTGTGTCTGTGTGGCTATGTGTACGTTTGTGTGTGTGTACGCGTGGCATCATGAACACTCGTGAAAATGTACATGCACACCAAAGCTTGCCGTTGCACTTTGTGTCTTTGTTCTCCCCGCTCACCATTCACCCCTGCTGCTGTGATGCGGTCATCGTCACCCGCCCGCTCCCTTGCTGATCCGCAGCGCTGCCCCTACATCCGCAACGAGCCGAGCCTTCGTCTCCTCAACCTCCAACACAATTCCATCACCGCCATCGCCGTACGTTCACGTGCACCATCGCTACGTGCGCGTGCTCGTGTACACATTCACACGTGATGTGATGTGTTGGCATGCGCTCTGTTGTTCACCCGATGAAATCACCACGCACCTCACTGCTGACATTGTCGTACTCGATTGCTTCTCTGCGTTCTTCATATCACCACAAGTCATCACCACAACAACATGTCACCACAACACATCACCACACATGTCACCACAACATGTCACCATCTCATCGTGTCGTCGTGCCATCGTCCGCTTGTGCTGCATTTCCAACACGCCCCATCACCACAACTGTCCACGACACCATATCAGAACCTGGACCACCTCGAGAATTTAATATTTCTCGACATGTACGACAACAGAATACAGGTGTGTGAGTGTGAGTGTGTGTCTGTTTGTCTGCCTGCGTGTCTGTCTGTCTGTCTGCGTGTCTGTCTGCGTGTCCGTCTGCCTGTGTGTGTGTGTGTGTGTGTGTGTGTGTGTCTGTCTGTCTGTCTGTCTGTCTGTCTGTCTTCT